ATATATAGAATTACATCTGCAAGTGATGGCGTTTTATTTATAGAAATCTATATTACATAAAGACAAATATGCAACTTGCATAATGTTTTATTCCGGGACAACGAGAATTTACGACAGCTTAAAGGGCACATTAAACGATTTCCTACGTATATTTGCAATCCTCTTAACTCTGAAAATCATGCTTTGAATGTTATCAAATATTTGAATTTTGTATGATTATCAATTAAATTTGAAAATCAAACCGACTGCTAGCAGCCGGTTGGATATTGAATATCGAATATCGAATAACGAACCGGCTGCTAACTTCACATTGCAATGTCTCGGAAAAGTTAAAAAATCAATGACGATCAGTTATTTCTACAAGAGTTATGTCCTTGGAAAATATGTCTTATATGGAAAATTGCATTGTTCTCGCGCTCATTTATACAATTCTTGACAGATTTGTATCAAACATATATCATAGATTTTATGTCAGAAATGTCTTTGGCAAGTCCAAAAATTAGTGTCGATCAAATGTTTTTTTAAAAGAGTAATGCTCCTTGGAATTATCAATTCTAATTCTAGTTCAAATGGGACATTGCATTGTAACTGCTTTCGTGTGTAAAATTTCTGTCATTTTTTTATCAAATTTATATGAAAGGTTTATATAATGTTTTGAACAGCATGGACAGTTTGAAAATCAGTGCCAATCAAATATTTTTAAAAGAGTTATGCCTCATGAAAGTATAAGTTAATCAAAAATTGCATTGTTTCTGCCCTCAAGCCTTCCAGTTTTTTTATTCTGATCATAATGATGATAAGTTTCAAAGACAAAAAATGGTTAAAATATGTGCAACGCGGTGCACATTGGAATTATGTTCTTTTATGAATTAAGGGTTTATAAATAAGTATTCATTCTCAACTACATTTGTTTGACACTTATTTTTCACAGTTATGGAACATATAAGAATAAATTAAATGCATATATATGAAAATGTGATATGATTGTCAATGTGACAACTCTCCACTAGACACCAAAAATGAGGTAGAACTAAGCAATTATGGGTCACCATTTACCCTTCAGCTATTAGAAAAACCCATGCCGCACAGCAAGCTATAAAAGGCCCCAAAAACCAAATGTAAAACAATCCAAACAAGAAAATTAACAGCCTGACTTATGTACAACACAATAAACGAGAAACAGATATGATATACACCAACTAACGACAACCACTGAATTACAGGCTCCTGACTTGGGACAGGCACCAGAAAATACTGTGCAAAACAATAATCGATATAAGAATAAGAAGATATTGTATGATTGTCAATGAGACAACATTCCATCAGAGACCAAATGACACAGAAGCTTATAATTCAGGTCACCATACGGATTTCAACAATGGATAAAACCAATACCGCATAGTCATCTATAACAGGCCCCGAAGTGAAAAACGTAAAAATATTCAAACAAGAAAATTAACGGCCTAATTTATGTGCAAAATAATGAACGTGAAACAAATATGATATACAGCAACAAACGAGACCTCCTGAATGACAGGCTACTGACTTACAAAAGTCACATACATAATGTGGCGGGGTAATAGTAGGTTGATGGCACCAAACCCTTCCTTAGCATGTGATAGTTGTGTACAGTATATACATCTAACAAAAACTCAGACCGGACGTGGCAAGGTATTTATACATCCCCACAACAAAAACCCTATATACAAATCTTAGAGTGCTCGCACATTCTGACATTAGTTCAAAGCCAACTAAAAAAAAATCATGCATCTAAGCATGCTAAGACTAACATTTATTTTGTAATGACGTTTTCTTATGTTTGGAAATTAATAAAAATCGACGATTACGAAAAATAATGTATTTCTAAACCAATAATCACAGACAAAGCACTAAACATTTGAATGTCGAACGGATGAAAACCCCTAGTGATCCGAAATACCTTTTGCAATAATCGTTTAAAATCTTGCTTTTACGTATACAAGGTAGCGTTTATATTTGTAATCATCTGTAATAAAATGTCATAAAATGAGATCAGCGTTAAAAATATAAAGGTGTAAAAACGCATCTGTACATCTATATACTGTATTAAATTTTCTGGAACCTTCAAATATTCATACTATATAAATTGAAATCAGAGCTTATGATTTAATTATATGTGGGACGGACGCTTTCTTATCACTCGGTATAAATACTTTGTGAAGTTAAAAATGTCCTAAATGACATATGTTGAACCGACACTTTATCTTTAATATAAATCAACATACAGTATACAATGATGTCAAAGCTTATTGATACATATGTGGGACTGGCGTTTTGTCTACGCTATAAACTGCACACTTTATCGAATGAGTTCAACATTTAATGATATATGTGTGAGACGGAATTTATATCTACTCTTTACACCACACTACCACACAATCTTACCAAACAAAAAAAATCCTATTTGATTAAATGGTCGTTTGGTAAATCTGAATGCAAATATATTTGCTGCAACTCGTTTAAAGCATTCATCTCTGATGAGCTAGGTGAATATGCTAGATATACTAACTGGAGGTGTGATGAGATGATTGAAGTTGTTAATTTTCTCCTTGATAATATTTATGGACGTTTCGGCAACAAAGTTTATTGACAGGTTGTAGGTATTCCAATGGGCACCAATTGCGCCCCTTTAATAGCAGATTTGTTTTTGCACTGTTATGAATCACAGTTTATGACCAAACTCAGTAAAGACCCGTCCAAATTGCATTTATTTGATAAATTCAACAACAATTACCGTTATCTTTTTTTTTTGTTAATAATCAAGAATTTTCTAAATATACTGCCGAAAATTACCCAAAGGAACTTACTTTAAATAAATCAAATTTAAACGGTTAAAACTGTCCAATCCTAGATATAGCAATTTCGGTTTTACACGGGAAACTCCAGCCTAAGATTTACGACAAGAGGGACGATTTTTCGTTCCCTATTGCTAATTTTCCCTATTTTGATGGTGATGTTCCTTTGGCATCATCTTCCGGTGTTTATATTTCACAACTCGTTCGCTATGCCCGTGTCTTTTGTGACGTTTTTGTTTTAACGAACGTTATCTATGTATTACTGGTAAATTGTTAAGCCAGGGATTTCGTTACCTCACATTACTTAAAACCTTTACTAAATTCTTAAAAACGACAAGTGCCACATGTGGAGCAGGAACCGCTTACCCTTCCGGAGCACCTGAGATCACCCCCAGTTTTTGGTGGGGTTCGTGTTGCTTAGTCTTTAGTTTTCTTTGTTGTTTCATTTGTACTATTATTTGTCTGTTTGTTTTTTTATTTTTAGCCATGGCGTTGTCAGCTTGTTTTCGATCTATGAGTTTGACTGTCCCTTTGGTATCTTTCGTCCCTCTTCCATAGATATAAAGATTTGGTTTTGAAGTTTGGTTGTACCTGTAGAAAACTTATTTCAAACGGGATAGTTCATCTTCATTTTTATGGAAATGTTGTTTACCGTGCCCGGAATTTGCACAAGGTCATGCTTTTTTCTGCCTGTTTATGACGTCTTTACACTAGATCCATTGGATGTTTGATGTGTACTGATTGATAATTTAGTCTTAGATGTATGATTTTTCTTTATATTAATTGTTAGTGGCTCTGAACTAGCTGTCAGTAACTGCGAAAACTCGCAGATCTGTACTTAGTGTCTTTTTGATGTTGGGATATACAAGTACTAAGCTACGTCCACTCTGTTTTTTGTTAGATGTGTTTCTATTTGTATCCATCTGATAAGGTAAGCCTCTCTTAACTGATGTGTATAGTATTTATATTGTACTGTTACACCACTGTCCCAGTTAGGGGAGGGTTGGGATCCCGCAAACATATTTAACCCCGCCACATTCTGTATATATGTGCCTGTCCCAAGTCAGGAACCAAATTCAGTGGTTGTCGTTTGTTGATGTGTTACATATTTGTTTTAATTCATTTTTTGTACATAAATTAGGCTGTTAGTTTTCTCATTTTAATTGTTTTACATTTGTCATTTCGGGGCCATTTATAGCTGACTATGCGGTATGGGCTATGCTCATTGGTTGAAGGCAGTACGATGACTTATAATGTAATTTCTGTGTCATTTGGTCTCTTGTGGAGAGTTGTCTCATTGGCAATTAAACCACATCTCTTTTTTTATATTTATAAATGTTTTGCCCTTTACATGCTACCTGTGTAGCACATGGTCATGGATATGTCCTCATTATCGTCACCATGACCGTGACATTTTTTAATGTGACTTCTACACAATTTACACTTGTATGACCTTTCTCAGCACCCATCTATGTCGATTTGGTTCTTTAGAGTTGCTTTTCTTCTCATCAGTTATTTAAAGAAGGGACTAATATTATTGTTATGATCAATTTAAAAGAAACAGCTTTAAGCTTATTTACAGTTGCTGTTATTCTCATGTTTGATAAGCTTTTTGTGTTTACTATAAACATTTCCTTTCAACCTTTTGTGTTCACCTAAAGTATATCAGTTAAAAAAATGTAAGACAAAACTGATAAAAAATAACACGCTTATAGTCTGAACGATGTTTCATCTTCATTTCCTTTTCACAGTTCATAAACTGTGCTGTATACAAAAATAAGAAGAGGTGATGTGATATGATTGCCAGTGGGACAACTCTCCACCAAAGACCACATGACATAGAAGTTTACAACTATAGGTCACCGTATAACCTTCAACAACGAGTAAAACCAACTCAGCATAGTCAGTTATAATAGGTCACAAAATGTCAAAAGTAAAACAATTCGAACTTGAAAAATAACGACTTCCACTGAATGACAGGCTATCAACTCGGTTTAATCAATTAGTGGAATGATTATAAGGTCGAATATCAATGAAAAAAAAATTAATGTCATAGAAAAACGTTTCGCTGGAAATTGTTGGGTTGTTGTTTTTTAGATTTCATCTACATTTTTGTTCTGCACATAAGTTTTTTATCAGGTTTCAATAATAAAACACAAGAAGCTGTATCGTTCATATAAATTTATTCATTATTTGTCTTTCATTATATATGTTAGTACAAATGTCAATGCTACGAAATTAAAAATACAATGCTAATACTTGTATAAACAAATAAAACCTAAGATTTGAGTTCAACTAATTATTTTAAACAATCAAGAGTAAAGTAGAAAAAAAAATCGAACTGTTACCATTATTTTTGCTTATTAAGGATGTAGTCAAGTCAGGTTCAGGAATTTTTGTCAGATGATCGAACTCATTGTTTCTTATCACTACGATACAGTTTAAAATATTTTGCCCCATATCACCAATTTTTCTATTCATAGAAGACTTCAATAAAAAAGTCATTACCAAAATTAAAGCATATTTTAGATTTGTTTTCTCATCATTTGAGACCAAATTGATGTCAATGCTAAATATAAGGTAAAAGTATCAGTCAGCCTTTCCCGCCATTTCTTTAAAATCAAATATCTCAACAAGAAGTTCCATACCCTGTCAATATGTGAAAATTTATTTGTTCCTTAACTAATGCTCTTCTGACTTGTTGTATCAATTTTAAATTCTAGATTTTTCTCAATTTCATCTAAGTACATTCTTAAGAACCTGGTCCATCTACAACGACGGTTCATGCTACTACTGATTAGACAAAATTATTTGAATATAAAGGCATATCTACCAGTTTAACCAACACTAAACATGGCTGATTTTTTGTCATTTTATGACAAATTGCGTAATGAGCCAAACATTAACAATTAACAAATAGTGATTAGTTTTGAAAAGGACACTTTTGAAGAAGAAAACAAAATAGATTTGAAATACCACAATATCAATATCATATGTGTATAGATATAAGAAGATGTGGTATGAGTGCCAATGAGACAACTATCCATCCAAGTCACACTTTGTATAAGCCTTTTATAGCTTGCAGTTCGGTGTGAGACAAGGGTCCGTGTTGAAGACAGTGATTTGACCTAAAATTGTTTACTTTTACAAATTGTTATTTGGATGGAGAGTTGGCTCATTGGCACTCATACCACATCTTCTTATATCTATTAAGTCACAAGAGCACGAGTTTAGGCTAGTCTGTAATAGTGACTTAATTATCAAACTAACGAAGAAAAACAGGAAGGATTGTACGCTTATTTTTGATCATCTCTTTTAGAATACATAGTACATTGAGTCTTTCTGCGTTCAAAGTCAAAATCAGCTGTTCATTCAATTATATCCCAAGAAAAAACAAAGATAGGTTCATTAACAATTAAACTGTTGAATATGCCTTTCGATTGTCCCCTAAAAAATATTTGTGAACTGAAGCAAAACTGTTCTATATGCAAAGACAAATACTATAGTACTGTATAACTAGCACATGTTTTTTTATTCCAAAAAAAAAATCAGTGTTATGCTTTTATTAAGTCTCCCAAACGAAGTTTGGGAAGAGTTATTGTTTTTGCTCAGTTCTTCTTGTTATGATTATAATTTTCCCTCTTCCCTCTTCCCTCTTCCTCTTCCGCCACTTTTTTAAATGAATTTGTCCGCACCCGTTCTCCAAAACCGCTAGTCAAATTTACTTAAGGTTTCACAATATGTTAGACTAACATGTCTAGTGGTGCAATCAGGGTTTCGTTTGTGCATTTGGGTCTGAAAAGAAGTACTTTGAGGGACCAAAAGAAGGGAGGGGTTTACTATAGAACCCTATGGGATTTTAATTTCTTTTATCTTTAAATGATTATAACTTGAAAACGGTTAGTGATAGACACAATCTTTATAATTGCAAATGTTCTACATGATAAAGCACATCAAATCAAATAAAGGGTTAGTCCCCAGGGGTCACCCCACCCCCCGCCATTTGACAAAGTTATAATATCTTGTAAGTGGTCAAGATCTCCACCCCTAAACCATATATATTCTGGTTTGTCATGATAAAGCACATTAAATGAAATGAAGGGTAAGTCCCCAGGGGTCAGCCTTACCACATGCCATTTGAGAAAGTTCTAATATCTTGTAAGTTGTCGAAATACCCACCCCTAAACCGTATATATTCTTGTTTGTCATGATACAGTCCATCAAATGAAATAAAGTATTAATCCGCAGGGGTCAACCCCACCCCCTGCCATTTGAGAACATTCTAATATCTTGTAAATGGTTGAGATCCCCTCCCCTAAACCATATATATTCCTGTTCGTCATGTCACAAAGAATCAAATTATATATAGGGTCAATCCCCATGGGACCCCCCACCCCCAATGATCTAATATCTTGTAAATGGTCGAGATCCCCACCCCTAAAAAATATATATCCTATTCGTCATGTCAAGAAGATTTGAATAATATATAGGGTCAGTCCCCAGGGATCACCCCCACCCCCTGCCATTTGAGAAAGTTCTAATATCTTGTAAATGGTTGATATCCCCACCCCTAAACCATATATATTCCTGTTCGTCATGTCACAAAGATTCGAATTATTAATAGGGTCAGTCTCCCAGGGGTCCCCCAGGGGTCCCCCAATGATCTAATATCTTGTAAATGGTCGAGATCCCCACCCCTAAACCATATATATTCATATTGGTCATGTCAAGAAGATTTGAATGATATATAGGGTCAGTCCCAAGGGATCACCCCCACCCCCTGCTATTTGAGAAAGTTCAAATATCTTGTAAATGGTCGAGATCCCCACCCCTATACCATATATATTCCTGTTCGTCATGTCACAAAAATTTGAATGATATACAGGGTCTGTCCCCAGTCATCACTTAAGCATATAATTTTACTGGACCAAACCAATTTTCACTGGACTTTGTGATGTCAGGCGACCCTAGGAATGACGAATTATGAGAGTTTCGTTTGGGAGACTTCGTAACAGCATCCTGTTACAATCATTTCTTGTTTGTATATATAGTTTGAATAAAATTCGTTGAATAAAACATATAAATACAGTTATATTGGTATTAAGTATTATTATCTATTGATATACATGAATATTGTACTGACACGAAACGATTATAACGCAAACACAGAAAAAAACAAAAAAAGAACAAATAAAACAAAACAAACAAAACAAACAAACAACAAAAGAACAAACGAACATAAAACACAAACTTTTTAAAAAATGTAAACAAATGCATACAAGGCATGATATTAACCAGTTGTATCTAAGAAGGAATGGTATTACTATCCAGACCGTTGCAATTAATACAATATCGACATACATAGTCGCCATATATTGGCATCATCCATTGGTACAATGACAATTGATTGTCATTTTAATCATAAACTATTTGTTAACTGTATCACTATTGACTTGTATTAACATAGCCCATTTGAATTTGACTACCTTGTATATTATGAACCTTTATTAAACTTATTAAAAAGTTAAAACGAAACCATTCCTTAACTATATTTAGTATTGATATACACTCCAGTGAAAAAATACATATGCCACAGAAAATCAAGCAAACATGACTAAAATTAAAAATAAACGTTGATTTCGTAAAAAACACAATTTCGTAAATCATTGAAAATTGAACTGATGATAATAATCATCAGCTATTTCTTGATCATCAAAAAGATCATGAAGGTTTTCCAGTCATTGATGTCTATGTATGTAAATAAACTCATAATAGAGACCAGGATTAAAATTTAGTACGCTACACGCGCTTGGTCCTCGAATGTCTCATCAGTTACTCTCAAATCAAAAACCTTAAAAAGCCAAAAAAAGTTCTTAGTTGAAGAACATTAAAGTTCTACAGTTTCGGAAAGTTTTCTAAGTACAGCTTATGTATTTATTACTTGTGTAAAAAAAAATCCTCAGTAATTCGAAAATATCAAATATTTGTTTATATCTGATATTAAAAGTTAACCTCAGAATTGTTGTAAAATATAGAAAGCGAATATAATACTTTTTAGATATAAGTTTGATTTCATTTAAAAAAGGCTTAACAAATTTATTGAGGTCTTTAACTCTTAAACCCCGTACTTTTTTTTCAATTTTTACTGTCAAAAAGTTCAATTATTAGTTTATCCAGGAGAAACAAATTAATCCAAACTATCCACTGGATTTTTTTTTTATCATGAAAAAGCTTTTTTCGCCAAATTTGTGAAATTCTTTGAAAGTTTGACAGATAAAACGTAACAACAGACAGTACATAAATGTCCAAATGTACAGAAAGTGAAAACAAAATATGTTCTAATTGGTATGAATCAATTACATGTCAAATCAAAACTACAACAACCGTAAGTATATAATGTATTTACAGCGAACAATTCATTCTATTATAAAATTAAGAATTGAAAACTGAATTAAAAGAAGACATTTTATAAGGAATGTTAACATGGATTTGAAATCAAAAGAAATGTTAAAATTTTAAAAGTGGTGTAAAATTCAAATACTTTAACCTTTCTAAATCGAACGATATGCAAAATATAAATTTATATGTATTGTGAAATTGTTTATCAGGAATTGAAAGGAATATGTTTAATTAATTTGACAAGTTCAAATCCAACAATCAAGGCAAATTATTCAAGGTACAGTTCAATAGTGTTCACTAAAGTTAAATCAAACAAATTGTTTAGTTCAATTATCTACTATTAAAAAAAATTTAAAATACAGAGTGTCTCTTGCATCAAACAGGCCAATAGGGTATATCGTTAAAAAATGCATATAACAACAAACAGATAGGTGTGTATACCATTAAAAAGTGTCTATTGCAACGCAATCTGTTTTATGAGAACACACACATATGAATGTATATTACAACAAACTGATTAAAGTACATTACAACAAACTGATTAAAGTATTATTACAAAAAACTGATTAAAGTATTATTACAATAAACTGATTAAAGTACATTACAACAAACTGATTAAAGTATTATTACAAAAACTGATTAAAGTATTATTTCAATAAACTGATTAAAGTATATAACATAAAATGATTAAAGTATAATACAATAAACTGATTGAAGTATATTATAGCAAACTGATTAAAGTATTATTACAATAAACTGATTAAAGTATGCGACAATAAACTGATTAAAGTATATAACATAAAATGATTAAAGTAAAATACAATAAACTGATTAAAGTACATTACAACAATCTGATTAAAGTATATTACAATAAAATCAATAAAGTATATTACAATAAACTGATTAGAGTATATTACAATAAACTAACTAAAGTATATTACTATAGAATAACTAAAATATATTACAATTATCGGATTAAAGATTATTACAATAAACTAATTGATGTTTATAACAAAACACTGATAAAATAAAATTGAGAATGGAAATTGGGAATATATCAAAGAGATAAATAACCCGACCATAGAGCAGACAACAAGGCCATTAATTGGTCTTCAACACAGTGAGAAACCCCGCACTCGGAGGTGGTCCTCAGCTGGCCCCTAAACAAATTATGTACTAGTTCAGTGAAAATGGACGTCACACTAAACTCAAAAACATATTAATGAACTAAAATTAAAAAATATACAAGACTGACAAAGGCCAGAGGCTCCTGAATTGGGACAGGCGCAAACATGCGTCGGGGCTAAACATGTTTTACGAGATCTCGACCCTCTTCTATACATCTAGCCAATGTAGAATAAAGAAAAACATAGCAATACGCACAGTAAAACTCAGTTTAAAAGAAGTCAGAGTCCGATGTCAGAATAGGTAACAAAAGAAACTAAGCAAAATGACAATGATACATAAATTAACAAAGGACTACTAGCAGATACTGACATGCCAGCTCGAGACCTCAATTAAACTGATTGAAAGATTATGTCTTCATCATATGAAAATCAAGTTCAATCCCTCCCGTTAGGGGTTTAGTAGCATACCATCATAAAATTTATGAGAAGAACATAGCCCGTATCAAGCCAACAACTGGTTTTAGAATAAATGCGTTTTTGCCGATGCAAAGACCCTATGAGTAAATCAATAATAATACCAAAATATGCAATCCTTAATGACCTGACAATAGTATCGTAACTATATCCCTTCCGAATAATTCTGTTTGCAGCTTTGGTTAAAGTATATTACAATAAACAGATAAATTAATAAAAAATGAATTACAATAGACTGATAAAAGTATTTTACAATAAATAGATAAACAAATATTTGAATTAATAGATAAAAGTATAGTATAATAAAAAAGTAAAAGTATATGTACTGACACGTTTCATATAGTTCTTACATATACGGACCAATGACATACACTCCATACATCCATTGACCTATCATATTCACTCCATGCATGAAATGACCAGTTATATACACTAAACATAAACACTAGATGACGACATAAACCCATGCATAAACTGAAAAATACATTACACTCAATACATATATTAACCAATTACCTACACTTCATACTGACCAAGTATACAAAATCCATTTATAACTGACCAATAACAAATACGGACATGCATACTCTGACCGCATACATGTATTCCATACACACACTGACTAAAGACATACGCTTCGTACATTTATTGATCAATTACCAACACTTCTTAGATACACCAATCATTTATATACACTCCCTACACATACTGACGAATTGCTAACACTTGATGCCGACATTTACCAATGGTATACACTACATGACTACACTAAGTTATTACATACCCCCTATGAATATATGTCCTAATCAACAAATGAATTAACATACTCAACAATTACAAACTTTTCATTCATATGTTTAACAGTACAGAAACTTTTTCATTTAACACACAAGCAAATAACATACGGTGGATTCATTATTATTAGTTTGATACCAATTTTCGTGGATTTCGTAGTTACATGAAAACCACGAATTTAAATGGTAAACGAATTGCAAATTTGCTGTATGATTTAATGCAGACTTTTTGAAAACCACGAAATCAAATATCCACTAAAATGCAAGTGTTCCTCAATCCACGAAAATTGGTACCCATGAAAATAAAATGAATCCACAGTACACTTCATCTACACAATGACAAACTATATACACTTCCTGGATCGATATGCTGAACATTATGTAGCTGTTTCTATGAACTATATATATATATACAACTCGTTTAAACATCAACCCAACAATGTTAGATCTGTAAATTTACTGATCAATTACTATTACTACATACAAATATTAACAATACAGTTTAAAACAATTGTCCATATCTGTACTGATCAAGTACAAATGTATATACTTTTTATTTACATCTTATACATACATAAACAAAGCATTTACTCACTCAAAACATAAACAGACAAATTATATACACTTCATCTTTATACAAATTGATGTTTTGCACTCCATACATATAATGGTCAATTGCATACTCTACATACATAGCCAAACCATTTACATACATTCCATCAAACATATTGCCAAATAAATACTCTACATAGATATTTTAATCAATTACTCGTATGCGCGTAATTACTTGTATCATCTACATACTGTAGGTCTTTGCAAAAAGATACAATTAGTAAACCATGATTAAAAGAAATTCTTAAATAGTAACTGATATTTTCTAGCACTAACTGCTCATCTTACTTGTGACGCTTTTAATTGGAGATTCTTCTCCAAAAGATTTACAATTGCCCCACACTGTGATTTACGTGCAATATCAACAATGACCATTGTTATCACACATTCTAACATCTGCATTCCATGCAAGTAACAGTTGTACGATTTCTACATGACTTTTTTGACAAGCTACATACAATGAAGACTGGCTGTTTGTATTACATTGAGATACATCAGCTTTGTTCTGGAGTAACAATTTTACTAAATCTGTAGATCCTCCTTCACAGGCTGCATACAATGGAGACTCACCATCATTGTTACAAAGAGAAACATCGGCATCGTACTGCAGTAACAGTTGGACAACATCTATATCGAGTTTCTGACAGGCCACAAACAACGGAGTCTGTCCTTTGTTGTTACACAGAGAGGGATCAGCTTTGTTCTGCAGTAACAATTTTACTAAGACTATAGATCCTCCTTCACAGGCTGCATGTAATGGAGACTCGCCATCAATGTTACAAAGAGAGACATCGGCATTGTACTGCAGTAACAGTTCGACAACATCTAAATCGTGTTTTTGACAGGCCACAAACAACGGAGATTCTCCATTATTGTTACACCGAGATATATCAGCTTTGTGATGGAGTAACAATGTTACTAAATCCGTACATCCCCATTCACATGCTGCATACAATGGAGTCACCCCATCATTGGTACATTGAGAGACATTGGCACCGTGCTGCAGTAACAATTCGATTAAAGCTATATTGTCTGCTTGACAAGCCGCAAACAACAGAGAATATCCTTCGTTGTCATTCTGATTGGGATTAGCACTGTGCTGTAGTAAGAGTTTTACAATTTCTATATTTTCATTTTGACAGGCTTCATACAACGGTAATTCTTCTTCAGTGTTACAATGCAAGGAATCAGCACTGTACTTCAGTAAAAGTCTAACAATATCTTCATATTCATATAGACAAGCCACAAATAACGGAGAAATTTGATCATTGGTAAACTGAGATGGATCAGCATTGTTTTCAAGTAACAATTTGACAATTTCTACACTTCCTTTTTCACATGCCACATACAATGGAGAGGTTCCTTCATTGTCACACAGAGCGAGATCAGCACATTTCTGCAGTAACAATGTGACAATATCTATATTTGCTGTCTGACAGGCCGTAAACAACGGGGATTCTCCATCAATGTTACATTGATTGACATTAGCACAGTACTGCAGTAACAGTTCGACAATATATACACATTCCTTTTGACAGGCCATAAACAATAGAGAATACCCATCATTGTAACACTCAGAGGGATCAGCTTTGTTTTGCAATAACAGCTTCACTGCTTCTTCATGTTCTTCTTTTATAGCCACAAATAATGGAGATTTACCGTAATAGTCACGCAGAGAGACATCCGCATTGTACTGCAGTAACACTTCCACAATTTCTGTATGTCCATTAGCACATGCAACATGCAATGGAGAGTCTTTATCTGGGTGACACTGACATGACTCATATACCTTCGCTTTGCTCTTCAGTAATAGTTTTACTATTTCTGTATATCCTCTCTCACAGGACACATACAAAGGAGACAGGCCTGAAGTGTTACAGGCGGAGACGTCAGCATTGTTTTGCAGTAAAAGATTTACTATTTCTGTGTGTCCTTTTTCACAGGAAATAAGCAATGGAGAACTAGAGCATTCGGCAAGCTGCAAGACGTCAGCGTTTAACTGCAGTAATATTTGCACTATATCAATATGCCCTCCTTTACAGGCAAAATACAAAGGGGACTGAGAACACTGAGAGATACCTGCATGGTTCTTTAGTAACAGTTTAAAGATATCCATATGCCCTTCTTCACATGGCACATGTAATGGACAATTGTTTTTGTCACATCGAAAGACATCAGCACTGTACTGTAATAAAAAAACTACTGTATCTGTATATCCTCCTTTACAGGCCATATAGAATGGAGACATTTCGTATTTATCACACTGATAGATATCAGCATTTTCCTTCAGTAACAATTTCACTATATCCATGTGTCCTCCTCCACATGCTGCATGCAAGGGAGACCGTTTATCTTCGTCACACTGAGAGATATCAGCATTGTACTGTAGTAAAAGTTTTACTGTTTCTTTGTATCCCCCTTCACAGGCCAAATACAATGGCGATTTTCCCCGTCTGTCACACTGATTGATAACAGCTTTATTCCTTAATAATACTTTAATTACATCTGAATGTCCTCTATGTGACGCCTCGTGTAAAGGCGACCTACCACGACCGTCTGTGTTTTTCACGTTGCATTTAACATTACCAATCAGAAACTGAACAATGTCATAGTAACCTCTTGAAGCTGATTCTATCAAAGGTGTTGTATTACAGTCTGTCTTACACGGAGAAAAACATGGATAATCATGGTCCTTTTGTAAAATGCATCCTCTTAAATCAAGATTCTTCAAGACTGATTTTGCATCATTATTCCTTCCAAAAAATCCTATTAACTCATCCATAAATAACTGATTATCCAACTGGTTATTATGGAATGTACTTGTAATGTCATCATGTTTTAAGTCACGTAACAGTCTTTCAAAAAACTCTTCTTCTTGGTATGTCGATATTGCAATTAAATCATCATTTCCTTGAGCTGCTGTAAGAGATTCAAAGATAAAAAGATCCCGAATAAATCCGGAAGGGGCATATTTGATAAAACATTCTGTACATTCCTGTCCACAGGTAACAGCTGCCAACTTATATATCATGTCATGTACTATTCTATATTCCGTGCCTGTCTGTTTTAAAAAGGGACCATCTAATATCGTAAAACCTGATTTTAAATAATTTCTAAACAATTCTTTTTCAAACTTTATGTCAAATTCGTCAATAATGCCTTTAATTTTGTACTTCTCTTTTTCTGGTGCTGCTCTGAAATCCAGCCATTCTTCATTGAATCCATCGTCAAATAAAATGCACAAAGTTAGAGCGCAAAATTGGTATTTGTTTGCATGTATAATTTTTTGTAGGTTCAATTTGATGATTTTCAAGGGAGCTTCAAACAGTTTCTGGATATCTTCGGGTTTTGTGCCTGTTGCCATTTTACAAACCAAGGGAAAGAAATCAACGTTCTCTATGAATTGTTTCTCATTCAATTCGTCCATTGTGTCAGCTGGAAGGTACTGACGTAGCATACACATTCGTTCCTCCTGCAGAAGACACAACTCTGGTGACAATAAATAACATTCTTTTTCTCTGAGTAATGCAACACATTGAAACTCTGGTTCTCTATATATATGCCGTCTACAAGAAATTAGTATTTTTGATTTTGTTACCTTTGAAACAGTGCCATCATTATTTTTATTATTATTTGCAACTTCTTTTTCTGCAATTTTGAATATTTTTTCCATCTTTTCGGAACAATCACTCCATATCTGTAATGTACGCGTGTTGATTGTATCTTTTCCACAAATGTCATCTACAACAAATACTTGTCTTTTGTTTTCTTTATTATAATTTATAATGTCTGTTGGTCCTGTTAAAACAGGTGTTATCTCATATCCAAACCTGTCACGTAAGTGTAAGGCAGCATGGTGTATGATTGACGATTTTCCACAACCTGAGCTTCCGGTCACAACAATGCAGTTATTCAAGTGGAGAGATTCAAGTATGTGACGTGTTGCTCTTGTTTCTACAAAGGTAGTTTGCTCTTGCTCCCAGTCTCTTATTTCTTGTCTTTGAGCTAAAAAAAATGAATTGAAAAAGACTCATGTTCGACTATGTAAATATAAAGTTGTGTCATAAACTTAAGAAGAATAATATATATCTGGTTACAATGAAATAAATACAGGAACGTCTGTACTTTTATAGTAAAAATTGTGTAAACGAGAAAAATCTGATAACATATATCTCTTGATTTGTATGCCCCATTTATGGGCATTATGTTTTCTGGTCTGTGCGTCCGTTCTTCCGTTCGTCTGTTCGTCCGTCCGTTCGTTCGTCCGTCTGTCCCGCTTCAGGTTTAAGTTTTTGCTCGAGGTAGTTTTGAATGAAGTTGAAGTCCAATCAACTTCAAACTTAGTACATATGTTTCTTATGATATGATCTTTCTAATTAGAGTTTTTACCATATTTTGACGGTCCACTGAACACAGAAAATGATAGTGTGGATGGAGCATCTGTGTACGAGGGACACATTCTTGTTATTAAATAAATGTATGAATATTTTTGCATAACATTTTGGGAATAATTAAGATATTTCAATTTACACTTATATCTGGAATATGAAACATACGTCAAGTAATTGCAAAGTGGTTTGTCGAAAAAGCAGCTTACAATGTGGTGAAGGTAGTATGACGTAAATTCTACTGATCTAGAATATTCGAGATGAAAGCCGATATTTACACAAAGGAACTTACTTAAAATAAATCAAATAAAAACCATAAGAAATGTCCTTTCCTACATTTATATATTTTTGTTTTGCACTGGAAACTCGACAAAAAAAAATACGACAAAATGGACAATTTTTAGTTCCCTTTTGTGAATTTTTATTTTGTAGACGATTATGTTTCTTTTGCACAATATCACGGAGTTGATATATAGTAACTGGTTTGCAGTGACCGGGCTTGATGCGACGTTTTAGATTTCAATGAACGTAATTTGTGTATTTCTGGGAATCTCGTAATTATAAACTACTTACCACTTTTCAAAATTCTTCCATATATGCTCAGATTCTGTTTTAAGGTTCGGAAGCTCCTTTTTTCAAATTGCATAGCACATCCTAATTTTTACGAATATATTGTTGAACGTGCTTGAAAATTTAGATACGAACCGGGTAAACACTGTATTATACCTTTAAATATTGTTGTCATTGGTATTTGTATTGATTGTGGTATCAGTATATTACAATCGATCGAAATATTATTTTTTTTTCTGTACAAAAGCACATTCATATTCTACAATCTGTCGATACCTTATCTTGGCATTGCAAAAGGTCAGACATTGGGTATTGTAAATTTGTAACTGTAAGTTTACAATTGCATAGTCAGCTAAATTTGTCAAGTAAATGAATGTAATGTGTCATGCAGCAATTTTTGCATTACATGTAATTGTAATTATATGTAATTTCATGCGTTAAATTGTATAACATGGCATTACTGTTTTCACATACTAATTATCTTTAACAGATTCTTGGAGATTTAACTAAAGTCAAATTAAACATTTCTTGATTAACTAAGAAAATAATCATATTTATTATTTATTTTTTTACACTTTACATACAACACTAGACGGAGTAAGGAGATTATGCATTGCTCAACGAAAAACTTGAAAAAATTGGTATGAATATTAGAAAGACTGAATAACAATTCTAAATAAATAATTCAACACTGCAGATTGAGTTATTTTTTTTTTTTAATTTCATTTTACTTCATACATTTTCTTGCCTAAAACGAATGATACTTTTTTACAAACATTACTGTAAAAGTGTTTAATTGTTGTCAAAGGGGACTCAAACGATCACAAAACACCTTTTCAGAATTATGTAACATTGTCATATAACACTACTTGGTTTGTTTTACTAACAATCTTTTCACCATTTTTGCACTTGGTCATAAAATAAATCTCTATGTGTACAATATAATTAGATAAGACATTTTCAGTTAATACTTTGATTGAAATTTAAATAAAAAATGTTTATCTTTAAACATGAAGTTAACATTCAGTTAAAAAGAGTATTAAACTATATTTCTGTACTTTCGTTTTAGAGAAACCAGAGAGATGTATACCTTGAAACATCGAATGCGTCTGAAGGATGAATTTTTCGAAAGCCTTGGGATTTTTAAAAGACATAATCGTATTTAATAGACTTTTTAATGAATGGCTTTGTCAAAATAATTGAAATATAATGCATTGTATTTTAATTTGATTCACCCCATACTTGCAGAAGGTATTGTTTTTCTGAGACAGTAAATGATGTCTTCACATCAAAAAGTAAAATAACATATATAACGAACTGCAAGGAAAATTCAAATCGAAGAATCCCTCATCAAAAGTCAAAATCTAAATCTAAAAAACACCAAACTAAAAAAAAACAACTGCCATATTCCTGAATTTGTACAGGAATTTGGACCATTGGATGTTGGATATGTTCTATCTAATTGAGTCTTCGATGCATAATTTTGTTATGTGTTGTTATTGGCTTTGAACTACAGTTGGGTGTAGACCAAGCATTACATGTAGATGGGCGGAAAAAGTTAACGTGGCGTTTACTCGCGTGCACTTCATGTAAACGCCGCGTTAACTGTGAGTTAACTCCGAAATTTTAGTAGACATAAAAAGTAAACGGGCGTTTACTTTCGCGTTTACCTCCGAGTTAACGCAAAAATGGCGCGTCTTCTAATTTTGTAAAATCATTTGACCGCATCAACCAAAACTGACCATACTTGCACTTTATTATGACATAATGTAAATCTATATAGCCTCATAGGAAATCGGTAATATGTTTATGTCAAGATGGATTGTATAATACAAATGATAGCGATATTGGAACGCAATGACTACATATAAATTTTGTCTGCATCAATTTAGAGTGCCAGTATGTCCTCTTTTAATTCAAAATATTGAATCGTAAACAAATTTCAGTAATTTTGATACCTCAGGCTGACTCGTATAACCAAATTTTTTGACCACATCAACCAAACTGACCACGTTTGCACTTTATTATGTAAATCTATATAGCCGCATAGTAAATCAGTTATATTTTTATGTCAGAATGGATTGTATAATATTGGAACACAATGACTACAAAATTTTGTCCACATCAATTTAGAGTGCCAGCATGTACTTTTTTTATTCAAAATTTTGAATCGTAAAAAAATTTCAGTAGTTATGATACCTCAGGCTGACTCCTATTACCAAAATATTTGTCCGCATCAACCAAAACTGACCATATTTGCACTTTTATTTTGTAAATCTTATAATCGCATAGTAAATCAATAATATATCTATGTCAGGATATATTGTATAATACAAATGACAGCAATATTGGAACACAATGACTACAAAATTTTGTCTGCATCAATTTAGAGTGCCAGCATGTCCTCTTTTTATTCAAAATATTGAATCGTAAAAAAATTTCAGTAGTTTTGATACCTCAGGCTGACTTGTATAACAAAATTAGTTGTCCGCATCAACCAAAACTGACCATATTTGCACTTTATTATGTAAATCTTATAGTCACATAGTAAATATTTTTATGTCAGAATGTCCTCTTTTTATCCAAAATATTGAATCGTAAAAAAAATTCAGTCGTTTTGATACCTCAGGCTGACTCGTATAACCAAATTATTTGTCCGCATCAACCAAAACTGCCCATATTTGCACTCTATTTTGTAAATATATATAGCCTCATAATAAATCAGTAATAATTCTATGTCAGGATGGATTGTATAATAAAGATGACAACAATATTGGAACACATTGACTACAAATTTTCTCAGCATCAATTTAGAGTGCCAGCATGTCCTCTTTTTATTCAAAATATTGAATTGTAAAAAAATTTCAGTACTTTTGATACCTCAGGCTGACTGGTATAACAAAACTAAATGACCGCATCAACCAAAATTGACCATATTGGCGCTTTATTATGTTCATCTTATAGCCTCATAGTAAATCAGTTATATTTCTATGTCAGGATGGATTGTATAATAAAGATGACAGTAATATTGGAACACAATGACTACAAAATTTTCTCCCCATCAATTTAGAGTGCCAGCATGTCCTCTGTTTATTCAAAATATTGAATCGTAAAAAAATTTCAGTAGTTTTGATACCTCAGGCTGACTGGTATAACAAAATCAACTGTCCGCATCAACCAAAATTGACCATATTTGAACTTTATTATGTAAATTTTATAGTTGTATTATAAGTAAATCAGTAATGTTTTTATGTCAGGATGGATTGTATAATACAAATGATAGCAATATTGGAACACAATGACTACTAAATTTTGTCCGCATCAATTTACAGTGCCAGCATGTCCTTTTTTTATTCAAAATATTGAATCGTAAAAACATTTCAGTAGTTTTGATACCTCAGGCTGACTCGTTAACACAATTGTTTATCCGCATCAACCAAAACTGACCATATTAGCACTTTATTATGTAAATCTTATAGTCGTATAGTAAATCAGTTATATTTCTATGTCAGGATGGATTGTATAATACAAATGATAGCAATATTAGAGAGCAATGACTACAGAATTTTGTCCGCACCAATTTAGAGTGCCAGCATGTCCTCTTTTTATTCAAAATATTGAATCGTATAAAAATTTCAGTAGTTTTGATACCTCAGGCTGA